TCTCGCGAGAGTAGCGCTTTGCTGCTGCAGCCGCGCGAATTGAGCGGTCCCCCACAGAGCTATAGACGACATTTTTCGGGCTCCAGGGTGAAATCAGTAAGTCTGAAATTGATTTTAGCGACATTTAAGACTTTCATTTCCTAACTCTTATTTTTATTTTGAGTTTTGCTTTGTTTTTCTTGCAATGTTCATTTTCTCTAGCCATCAGAGACGTCAAATTTGCGTCAGATGGTAAGTGATTTGTGAGCTTTCGTAGGGGATTTAACATAGTATCAATGAAGGGAAAGTGGAGATTGAGAAGATAGGAAGAAGAGGGAAGAATTTTCGACAGTTTTGGAGAGGCGGACTTTTGACGAGAAGCCTATTTTAGGTAAAAATGTTGCTTTTGGTTTAAATTATTTTATGAGCTGAAAATTTATAAAATCTTGATATATTTACAGATTCCATGTTTACTTGAGGCAACAAGCTTAAGACAAACGTGTAAAAGATCGTCCTAGAACAGTTCCGTAAATCCAAGTAAATAATTCTATGTTAATTTAAGAAAAATGATTGACGAAAATTAGTTGAATCTTAATGTTTAATTTTATTCTTTTGATTTTATAAATCAATAGAAATGCTATCTAAACACCAACTAATCACTCAAGATTAAAAACCTTGCTTTTTAATTGAGCTGAGTAATTGCATTTCTAAATTTCAGTAATCTTCTTTATTTCAGATTATGGTTTGACTCTATGTATGCCTTAGTATAATTAGATAATTCATATTGTTTGATAAGAAAGATAAACATGATAAACATAATAGGAAAATATGTGTATGCATGAAGGATATGCACGAATTGAATAACATTTAAATAAACATTATATGTAAGATAGACATGCAAGATAGACATGTATGAAGGATATGCAAGAAATGAATGATATTTAGATAGACATTATATGTAAGATAGACATCTATGAAAAATATGCATGAGATAAATATATAAATGTTATGAGAGATGCAAGATGAGTAGTTGCACAACACAATAAGTATGAATGTTAGTAGATGTATTAAGATATCTCAGAATAATGTATGTATGAATAATAAAATGGTTTATATATGATGCTTCTATGTGCATGATCAAAGGAGTTTACCCTATAATGGTACAAGTAGGGCATGTCAGTGTACCCGCGCGAGCAGAGTTTTTTTACCACCCCAGACAATTGTGATAGTTAGATCAGCAACCGCTGTGCCAACAAAATAATATCTACTAGGGGTGAGTAGATCAGAGCTTACCTCCCTAGATAATTTTGATGTTTACATTGTTAACCGCTGTGCCGATATGATAATATTGGCCAGGGGCAGGTAAACGACTTTTAACCCTAGACAATTGCGATGTGTAGATCGTTAACCGTTATGCCGACGAGAGCCGATGAGACAATATTGGCCAAGCGTGTGTTAAGTTGTTGACGGTGATTCTCACAGAGACAGATATGTATGCAAAGTATAAAGTAAAGTTGAAGTAAATATTTATAGAAGATTGAGTATGTAAAAAATTATTGATATATGCATTAATATATATCATATTGCTTCTAAAAATATGAATGACCGGTACATTATAAAATTTCTTATAGACTCGCATGCATATTGAATTCTTTTCCTTGGATTAATATAGTTTAAAAGTATGATTACACCTAAGTTATCTTTAGATAACCCATTATGTTGCTTCAATATTATTTTTAGTTTTTAAATATTTGAACAAAATGAATAACAGATGAGCTAATGTATATAAGAGACGAGAATAATGACCGGAAATGTATAAATTTCTATTTGTTAGTTTTAATTACTCTCTTTTGTGGCTCTTTTATGTGTTATTTGAATATTAAATTGTTAGTGATAGAATTAGAATAATAGTGAATTGATTTTCACCATTCGACCCGTTCATTCTCGTCTTGGTTAATTCGAAACCTCGGGCTGGGTCGTGACACTAAGGAAGAAGGGGACATTTTCAAAAAGGAGACGTCAGCACGAACATAAATTTTATTAGTGTTAGGATCTAAATGTTGGTGGCCTTTTTGAGTGGCGGAATAGCCAATAAAGACATTTGATTGACCAGAGATAAAGTTACTATGAGTTGGGTGTGTGTTCCGAAAAAAGGCCGTGCACATAAATATTTTCGGTTCTAAAGTGGAGGACTGGTGGGTAGGAAAACATAATATATGATTGTAGACTTCATCGAGATCCTTGTTCAGGTTGGCCAGGAATTGAAACCATTGATTTTGGAACAGGAAAAGATCTGCAGGAGAGTCACAGGTGTAGTCATAGTAGATGTCACATTCCATCCATAAGACAACCAAGTTGTAGTTCAGGGTCACCGTCTTTGATCCCTGTCTTGCCTCGCAGATCTTTTTAGAAACCTAATAGAGCTGTCTAGAATTACTTATGTCCGAGTAGGTACAACAGTCAAGAGGGCACTTGCAGATAGAAGAAACTGGTACGAACGACCAATCGAGGTCTCTATGGAGTTGATCAGCCATTACATGATCATCGAGTTCTCCACTTCCAATGCTGCATATGCTGGGTCAAACTTTAGAGATTCTCGAATCATACTTGTGAGATGGTTAAATTTACCCCGACCTTTGACAAACAACGAAACAACATGAGACAATCTAAGGAAATTAGAGCCTCTAAGTTTGTGGGTGGTAATAAGGAAATTCATGTGATTTTTGTATCCTCCGGTCTCGGAGGAATTGATGTAGGTGTTGATTTTCCGGTGGACTCAAGAACGTCAAATGGAGGCTCAATTGTGGAGGAATCTTCCATGGCTTCGATGGAGCCAAATGTGAGGTTTGGATGTCGAGGCATAAAAGGAGACGATCCCTTACTCGTTTGTTATCAAAAGAAGTTCTGTAGGGTATGATTCTAGCTAGCGTGAGGGAGATCATCTGATGGTTCTGTAAGTGGTTTTGGTCGGCAAGTGGGAGGTCCGATTGCGGGAAGGCATGTAGGGAAAGATTCTAGCCAGAAAAAAGGTAGATCCGATGGTTTTGGGAGGAGTTCCAGTTGGCAGGATGGAGGCCCGACGGTGGGAAGGCCTGCAAGGTAGAAACCCGGTTGCTGGAAGGAGTTTCAGTGGTCCTGGAAGGGTGTCTAGTTGGCAGGAGGTAGGTCTGGTGGCGAGAAGGGCCAACAGGGAGGGAACGACCATCTAAAATTTGCAGTGGGAGTTCTAACGGCTAGGATAAGGTTGCGGCTGCTAGGGGAAAGATTCTGTCTTTCATACCATGTAGGAATTGAGAATTCAACGGAATACTTTATTGATATGAAAAAGGATATAAATACACCATACATGACCTCTCAACTAGGAAAAACAGCAAAAAAGAAATAACAAGAAAGGAAAACATATAATTCCTAATAATCAGGAAATAACAATAAAAGGTAAATGACAATTCCTAATAATTACTTGGAGATAAAAGGAAAAAATAAAATTGGAAGGGCAAGAAATCCAATTCTTCTAACAACTTATATAGTAATATATGGTCTACTATTTCAGTTGGTGTTGCTCCATTCTCTTTTCTTTTTCACCACTAATCTTTTCTATCTTAATTTTAAAGTTTTATTATTATTTTTTTCTCCGTTCTCTTTACCCATGCTATTATAAACTCTCACCTCACACCATTTGGTGCATCTTTTTAAACTATTCTTATACTTAAAAAGATTATTGCCTCCACGGTCCATCTACATGATGATTTTATGCCTTTGTCGATGTTTTCTTTCACAAAGCATATCCTTCTCTCTTATCAATGCTCCTTCAGTTACCTATCCTCTCTCCTATAACCATGACGTTTGTTCCTACTTTCTGACAAGTTTATACTTGAGGGTCACGTCCATCTGTTATTGAAATACCTACTTCCATATCATCTAATACGACCAAAGAATTTGATTTTCTTGTTGCCCATCCTTTGATTTTAAATGTTATTAGCAAGTCATCATTTAGATTGCTAATCAAATTATCAAGGATATTGTTTTGTCAAAGAAAATCCTCACTCATGTTTTCTATGAAAAACAAATGGTTGATATCTTTATGGAGGCTCTAGGACCTCTTAGTTACTCAAAAAACATTAAACAAGTATGATCCAGTTGCCTTATATGCTCTAGTTTTGGGGAGCATTGTAGTTTTGGGGAGCATTGTAGTATCAAGCTGGACAAAATGGTTATTTTTAGTATGTGGTGATTGCTCCTTATTGGATTGTTCCTTATAATATGGTACTTATTTCTTCATTATAAATAAAAGGTTTCCATGATGGATGATCTGCAAGGAGGAGAATTCCTTCTTTTCTTCATTTTATGATTCCTTTATGGTGGATAATTTTTTCTTTTATGAAATTTTGTCTTTCTTATCAATTAATTTTAAGGGCATTTACATACATACCACTCAATTCCTATGCATTTACATATCTAACACCTAAACTTTACTTTTCACATCGATACCACTAAAATCATTCATATCACATAAAAAATACCGCCATTTTAACTTTTAAAAAGTGAGCTACACCTCCTCATGCATAGGTAAGGTGGCATTAATGCGAAAATTGAAGTTAGATATGTAAATACATAGGAATTGAGTGATCTGTGTGTAAATCTTCCATAATTTTATGGAAAGCTCTGAATCCTAATGATATTTGATTCGTAAAATGATTTATGCTGTTGGATGAAAGCTTTTTCATCTCCAGAAGGTGATGATTTTGATTTCAATTTTTATGTATGTGAAATTAAAATTCTCATTTGCAGGAATTTTAAATATTTTTATATATTTTTAAATTTATAGAGATGTAATTGATGAAATCTAATGAAGAAGGTGATGCAATTGATAAAGACATTATGTTGTATTATTTTGTAGATGTCTTGGGTATTTATTGAAATAAGTGGACAGTTAAACTCATGTAAAGATTTATTTGTAGATAATATTTAAGATCAATTTGAAATTTGGCTTTAATTAACTTTGAAAATTTACTTTTCTGTAGGAACTTGCAGATAAGAACAAACAACTGAAGCTTCTGATCGATCAATTTAGGAACTTAATTGCTGATATTTCAATGTGGCATGGTCCTTTGTCTGTATGAGATGTGATGATTTATGGAGAAAATATTGCATTAAAACACTACACGTAGAGTTAGGTACGGAGTCCAATGAATTCACGCCACGTGGCGGTGACAGAAAAAAAAATAATCTGTTTGGTAACATAAGAAAATATTCCTCCCGTGTTATTCAAATGTTATTGTGTGTTATTCAAGTGCTATTGATGTGTTATTATGTTATTATAATACCGAAAATATTTCCAGAACACAATAACACCTGAATAAAATACAATAATACATGAATAATATAGAATAACACGGGAGGAATATTCTCGTGTTATCGGGCCGATTTTTTGTCACATTTATGTGGCGTGATTTCATTTGACTTTGCACGTAACTCTACATGAGGAGGCAATATTTTTTTTTATTTGTCCTGTTGTTTTGGTTGTTAGTCGATTAAATGTAATATTAAACAATAAGTATAATTTTAAGAAAATTAATTGTGATTGATATATTATGTGCTTTTGGACGGAATCTGTATGTTTGATTAATATTGTTAAAAATTTACGAAATTAGTATATGATTTTAGCTGAAATAAATAGGGGGTATTTACATACATACCACACAATTCTTATGTATTTATGTAGCTAACATCTAATTTTATATATTTTTTTATATATATGACCCAAATCTATGACGTCGCATAAAAAAATGGCAACACTAGATTTTCAAATGTGAACTACACTTCTAATTCTTTATGACAAGTGTTATATATGTAAATATGAAATTTAGGTGTTAGATATGTAAATACATAAGAATTATGTGGTATTTATGCAAATTTACCAAACAAAGAACGTTAATAATTCACTTTGGACATAATAAATCAACACTTAAAAAAAAAAAAAAGAGGGCATATATAAACGTTTTCCTTATAACGTTTTCCTTATCTTTGATTATAAAAGATTTCTTTAATAATCTTAGGCGGTCATTGTCATCATATTTAAATTTAAATAAAAATCACTTTATTATATTATAAGCAACAAAAAAAAGGTTTTTTTTTTAATTAATATATTTCAATAAATGTTGTCATAACCACCATAACCATCACATGTTTAGAAAAAAAACAGCATTTACGTGCATGCCTCCCAATACCTATGTATTTACATATCTACCACCACAACTTAATTCCTTATAATTATACCGCCCAAAAATTTCATATCACATAAGAAAAAAATTACTATTTTGACTTTTAAGAAATGAAATAAACCTTTTTAATCTATGTATATGGTGTCATATGTTGAATTGAAGTTCAGTTGTTAGATATGCCAATACATATATTTTCAACCACTTAATTAAAAGACAGTCCTTTTTGGACTAAGCAACAGGCAAAATAAAGAGCAAATCTCAAATCATAATAAAAGGCAGCACAACAAAATTTCATGACATCCCTGAAATTAGATAACAATACACCATCTCCTAAAGGAAGCATCATGGAAAGCCAAAAATTGCAAAAAACAATTTAACTTCTAATCCAATAGTTCACAACGATCCTGCAAGTCTATTAACAACAACATGCATCTGAATAAAATCAAAGAAAAACATTGTTTTCTAAGGATTCCCAGCAGAATTTCAGTCCTCATCAGACTAGGCGAAAGGCTAAGAGTTTCTTAAAAAATCATCAAGTTTTAGGGAAACAAAACCAATTAGATCCTTCTATGTTGTTTTAGGGGCTGGTTAGTTATAGATGAATGAGGGGCTTGTTGAATTTAGAATGTAAGGATTTCAGATAATCTGATACTTGGTTTGAAAAAGATAAAATAGAGTGTAAATTCATGATGTATTTAGATCGGCTGCGTTTCTAACCCCACAAATAATCATGGCAGTTCCCATAACTCTCCATTCCTTCTATAACCGAAGGAGCGCTTATTCGGTACAGAGACCAGACACAATTTTGCGTCTAGACGCCAATTAAGGAGCGTCATGTGGCACGACGAGTCCCATGAAAAAAATGGTG